TTCCAATCAAAAATAATTATCAATGCATATTGATTACATGTCTGATGAATTTCAGACTGCAGAAATTGGTAAAAATCCTCAGTTTTTTCATCTTTGACAATAGTGGTTGATGCATAAATTTGAATAACAGTCATATTTACTGTCTTTATAGGCATATGGATATTATCCTATCATTGACATCATTGTACTTCAGTATAAATTCTGAAATGTTCTTTTTGACTATGAATGCAAGATCATTACTCTTCAATTTGTCATTCCTGGTATAGTAGACTGTATGATTTTCTTATTCAGAATGGCCAATACCAGTCCATTTTAGCTCATTAATGCCTGTTGTTGTTGCTATTTGCCATCGAGTCAGACCCAACTCATAGCGACCCCTCCTATGGTTTCCGAGGTGGTATCGCTGTGGAAGTAGATTGCCCAACCTTCCTTCCAAGAGTGGCTGGCGGGTTTGAACGGCCAGCTTTCTGGTTAGCAGTCAAGTGCCTTAGGCACTATGCTACCAGAGCTCCTAAAACTCACTGCTGTTGAGTTGGTTCCAACTCATAGCAAACCCTCCTTGAATTCCCAAGGTGGTATCTCTACAGAAGTAGATTACCCAGTCTTCCCTCCAAGGAGTGGCTTTATGCATTCCATTTCATTTTTCATGACTTCCAATTTTCCTAGATTCATACTTTGTACATTCCTCAATCTGATTATTAATGGATGTTTGCTGCTATTTCTTCTCATTTTTGTCATGCCACATCAGCAAATAAAAGTCCATCCACATCATTAAGGTCAATTCTACTATGAGGCGGCCACTTCTCCTTAGCTGTATTTTGAATGCTTTCCATCTTAAAGGGCTCATATTTCAGCACTATATGAAACAATGTTCTGATGCTATTCACAAGGTTTTCACTGGCCAATTTTTTCAGAAGTAGACCACTAAGTCCTTCATCCTAATCCATCTGTCTTAGTCTGGAAGCTCTATTATAACCGCAGCACCATGGGTGACCATGCTGGTATTTGAAATACCAGTAGCATAGTTTCCCACATCACAGCAACATACAAGCCACCACAGGAGAACAAACTGACAGACAAGTAGTAGTTTAAACACTAACCATTATAACATAATGTAAAATAGACTGTTTATGACTATTCACTGTGATCATTCCTTAATCCATCTTACATGGGATTTTTTGTGTGGTGGGAAGAGAGAGAGTTACAGGTGGTAAAAAGAATGGCAAAGCAAGTGAAGAATTGAGAAACATAAAATGAAAGTAATTGGATGAATTCACTTAGGTCTCATTTGGTATGAAATATATCTTAGCTTATCTCCCCTAGAAGATACACCTTGGTAACACACATGAAATATTTTTCTGTGCAACTTTTTATCTTCTTTCCCTTGTAGTTAAATTGACGAAGCTACAAGCTTCATCGAAGAACAAAGCATGTCATATCCATCTTTGATTCTCCTTTAGATCCTAGCATAGGCCCACAATTATGCTTAATACAATATTGCTGGCTGCACTGATTATGCCTTGATATGTCCTCCTCACTGAAGTCGTCTCCATCTTCCATCTTGCACTATAAAAGCAATTTGTTTCCATCACACATATGTTACATTTTGTTGTATTATGGAGTATCTACATTTGTGTGTGCATTTCTACTAACAAATTGAAGTGATATTAACCATAATAACTGTTTATAACTTTGGTAGCTAAAACATGTAGTTTATATATCTCTGTGTCCCCCCTAGTACTTGTCATCAGGCATTTTTTTTTTTTCTCTTAATGAATAACAATGATGCATTTGCTTTGGCTATACCTAACATCTTCTTTCCATACTGACTTTCACTCTGAAGTTATTACTTTTCTACCTGGGTACCTATCTAATGCTCTATCCCCTAGCCTATTAACAGGAAATGATTTCTCATAACTCATTTATCCATAAATATAAATTGGTTTGTCCAAGTATTTGCAGTTTAATCCTTTAGTCATTATTAGGAATGAAAATCATAGATTTCTCTGATGAGATTTCTGATTAAAGTAAGGCAGAAGATTGACAGAAAAGGAAAAGAATAAACGTATTTATATGCTATGTTGTACTAGTCTGGTTAGTGTCATGCTAGCTTGGGATTACATTCAATCATAAGCATAATTAGATAAACAGAAGCTACAATTCCTTCACCTCTTTCAGAAGCACATACATGCCTCCATGTAGGCACATACACACAAACGCTTCAGAACATTGAAATAAAAGCTCCAGGAATGGGGCTGAATAGTCTAACACTAAACAAATAAACAAACACTGGTTTACTCTCATAGCTGAATATAATTGCAGTAGACCCTTTGTGGTATCTCATTTAATCACATAATAATAACCTTAAAAGGTACATAGCCTAGAGGTGCTATGTGTCTTACTCAAGTTCACAAGGCTAGTACCTGCCAGAGAGCAACTATTTGAATCTAGGCTAATAGTACTCCATACCCATTCTGTCAATATTATTGCCACT